AAAAAAAAAAAAAAAAAGAGAGGAAAGTATGAGAAGCAGTGACCTCGTATGTCCCATCCTTTCCTCTGCTGCCCTGAACACTCTTGTCTCCTGAGAACACAGTGGTGTTGGGAGCTGCGGCAGCCATTCTGCAACCCGGAGAGGAGGTAGTGAGAAGGCACACGCAGAATCCAGAGTCCTGAGACTGCACATCTACTGAACATGTGACCGAATCACCTGCCTCTGAACTCCTTGTCATGTGAGGTAACAAACTGCTCTTGGTGTTTGTTATCAAACAGTCAAAATACAACCTAACTAAAATGTGGCTTCTCTTGAAAATGAAGAGGTTTGGGAACACCAGACCTGTGTTTACCTGCACCAAACCTGATGCAGACAGTCCTTTTACACCGGGCAGGAGCTCTCAGACTTTGCTCACTCAGTCCCCACAGGCAACTGAGTTTGCAGTCCCTGCTTTCTGGCACAGATGGCTCAACTGTCTCATCTTCTACAAAGAACTTCCTGGTTCCTGCCTCCCCACACCCCAAACCCACCTGCCTACAGGCAGTTCCTCTTTCCATTGCCTCCTTTCTGGCTCTGATGGTCACTGCTCATTTAATCCCCTCCCACCTATCAGCCTCCTAAGAAGAGGCCCATGCTTTACTCATCCCCGCTCCTCTCTCTGCCATCCAGCGAACCGCTTGAGGAAGGAAGTGCTCAATGTCTTAGCTGAATAAATGAACGAACACTCACTGCACTGAGGCGTGGCGACGTGCCAGAGCATCCCCTGAGTGCACCACGCTCTGCACAGCTGACATGCACATGTGTTGCTTCCCTATCCAGGAATACAATTCCCCATCACCCCCCGCCCCAACACAAGGGAGCCCTGGGCCACTCGGGCCGTCAGCCTCAGTCACTGGAGCACACCTATAATAGTCAATACTCTTTTTTTTTTTTTTTTTTTGAGACGGAGTCTCGCTCTGTCACCCAGGCTGGAGTGCAGTGGCCGGATCTCAGCTCACTGCAAGCTCCGCCTCCCGGGTTCACGCCATTCTCCTGCCTCAGCCTCCCGAGTAGCTGGGACTACAGGCGCCCGCCACCTCGCCCGGCTAGTTTTTTTGTATTTTTCAGTAGAGACGGGGTTTCACCATGTTAGCCAGGATGGTCTCGATCTCCTGACCTCGTGATCCGCCCGTCTCGGCCTCCCAAAGTGCTGGGATCACAGGCTTGTGCCACCGCGCCTGGCCGTCAATACTCTTAAGTCCTGGTCCCCTCAGCAATTCCCTTACTCAGTAGGTGGGGATAAAGGCAATGGCGTAAGACTCTCCCTAGGACAGTCTGGAAAGAACTGCTGGTCACCACAAGCTCCAGGAAAGGACGGGAGTTTACACACAAACAAATCTCCTGCTTACGTATGAGAAGCGACTTGAACACACACGCACGTGCGCACGCACACACGAATCATAGATATGGGGCAAGGGAGACAGCCCCAGTCTACCTTGAGCTCTGTGCCCCAGAGGCCTGCTGTCCTCTCAGACACTCAAGAGCCCCAGGCTATTAGTGAAATCCTGAGGAGCATGACTTCCTTCTGCATCAATCTGGATCTGATTTAACCTTAGGAATGCTTCCTGAAATGGCAGTTGATCTTTAGTCCTGACTTCTGACAGATTCTCTCTGGGTACCTGGCCCTTTTGCTCTTGACCTAGTTTTTTTTTTTTTTTTCAGTTGTGGTAAAATACACATAACATAAAGTTTACCAACTTAACCATTTCTAAGTGCGCAGTTCAGTGGTAGCAAGTACATTCACACTGTGGTACAATCACCACCACCATCCATCTCTAGAACTCTTTATTCTTGCAAAACTGAAACTCTGTACCCATTAAACAGTAATTCCCCACTCTCTCCTTCCCCTAGCCCCCGGTAATCACCATTCCACTTTCTGTCTCTACGAATTTGACTACCCTGGGTACCTCATATACATGTTTGTTCTTTTGTATGTTATTTCACTCAGCATAATGTTTTCAACGTTCATCCATTTTGTATCATGTGTCAGAATTTCCTTCTCTTTTTTTAAAATAATGTATCATGGACATTCAAAGAATTTCCTTCCTTTTTAAGGCCAAATAATATTCCACTGTATGCACATACCACATTTTGTTTATCCATTCACGGATGGACACTTGGATTGCTTCTGCCTCTTAGCTATTGTGAATGACGTGGTAAGAACCTGGGTACGCAACCATCTGCTCTAGTCTCTGCCTTCAGTTCTCTAACGGACCGGGCCTCTCACTTTCCCCACACCAGTTGACATCCTGACCCCAGGCATGGACTTCTCTAGGCCAGTCCCTGGTCCCCTGGGCAGGGAAACAGAATCCCAGGCTGGGCTCTCAGGTAGTGTCCACGGGAGATCCTCTGGAGTTGGAAGAACCAGAGCTGAGCTGACAGGGGGCTCAAGAGCTTGTTTCTGACCCCTCCTAATGGGGAGCGCAACAGAGACAACGTGGCAAGAAGCAAAGGAGAGTGGGGCGTCCCCTCAGCCTCAGAGGAGGAGACACATACCACTGCAGGGAGCAGGACAAGGGAGGCCTCTGTTCGCCTAAAGGGCAGGCATGCCGCAGAGGCGGCCCCTGGGGCTCCAAAGGGCATTGGGGGCTACAGGGGCAGAGGTTACGAAAAGGGAGAGGGTGCTGAGACTGGTGCTATTCAGAAGACCTCGGTTAGAGGGCTCCATGGAGAGCGGGGCGGAGGAGTCTGGAATGCTCTAATTTGACGGATGCTCCCAGCTCAGCCAACTCCTGAAGCAGAAGAGGCACAAAGCAGAAACTCAAAGGGCTGGGGGTTCATGGTACATCCTGGTCTAGAGCCTTAGCCTTCAGGGCCATGTGCTTTCTTGCTCTGGGGTGCGCACCCTACAGCTGGGGCAGAGGCTGGGTCTGACCACCTGGGAGTCCCTCTCACTGTCTGCCTAAGCAGCTTTCAACTGGTTACATGATATTTTTTGGTGCCGAAGTGTCTAGGTTCAGGTACCAAATGATGACAGTCTAGGGAGGGTGCAGCCACTAGGAGGAAAATTAATTCCTTCTGTGGAACTCTGAACATCCGAAAGCATTATAAAGAGGAATTAAATACACCACCTCAATGCCACAACCAAGGCACCAGCTTAAGGCTCTCATTCCCACCCAGACCAAACTCAGGGGCACCGTGGATGTCCCATCAGCCAAGGAAGGCTGTCAGCGAGGGAGACAGCTTCAGACTCTTCCCTTCGGTGACTCCAACCCAAGGAGCAGCCTGATTTGATGCGGATGTTCCTGGAACCCTCCCACGCTAACCAGCGCTGTCTGAAGGACTCGGGAGCAAGCTGTCCCCTCAGACCTAGAGCCTGTCTCAGTCTGAACCCACTGTCCTGGACTGCTCTGGGATCCCGTGGCCACAGGGACTGAGATCTGAGGCCAGTTCACGGTGCCGAGGAGACTGTTGGTTCAGCTTTTTACTAACGCTGGAGGCTGAGCCAAAGACGGCCTGATGCCGCCACACCCTAGTGATGCAACGTCCCACCAGCATCTCCCCTGCAGCTGGGCTCCAGGCACTAGGAGTCTCGGGAGCTCAGCGCACCAGTCTCCACCCTGCATCCCAGACTGACCCGGCTGAAGGAAGATTCCATCCGCACTGAGATCCCACAGGAGACCGAAGGCTCCCAAAGACGTTTCTGGAGGCCAAGTCAGCAGCTAGGTGGAAAAACAAAAACAAAAACAAAAACAAAAACAAAAACAAAAACCGGTTAGCTGGGTCATTCCTGAAAAGCAATAGTAGCAACTTCCACGACTTCACATTAAATAAATCCCATTTAATCCCCGTAAGTCCATGAGGTAGAAGGACACTGTCACTGTTGCCAATTGAAAGATGGAAAACCAAGCTCAAAGAGGTCAAACGACCTCCCCAGAGTCACACAGCCCGTGAGCAGCAAAGCCAGCCCCCAGGCCCGGACCCCCAGGTCTGTGTCACCTGAAACCTCCTACTCCGTCCACCTCCTGGCATGGGGGTCTTGGTCCCCCTGCCCCTCGCTCCCTGTGGTCACAGCCATGGCCCTCCAGGGCAGGGCCCCGTGTAAGGGACAGAGAGCCTGCACTGATCACAGGCAGCAGGACAATCACAGGGTGGGCCCTCTCTGTGATCCGTGAATCACTTCCAGGTCAGCGCCTTAACTCACTGTCATCTGAGACCACCAACTTGGAAGGTCCTTCCAACGTACCAAACACAGGTCCTCAAACAAGGGTGGGGTGGTCATTTCTGGGATCCTTATCTGAATATTCCTGGAGCCTGATGGTTAGAAGCTGGGGTTTGGGAACATGCAGAGAGGCTGACAAGGGAATGAGCAATGGGACAGCAGCAGCCCACAGGTGCCATCTGGTCTAGGGGCACTCAGCAAGCTCCCGACCGTGGCCGCCACGCTGTGCACGACATCGTTCCTCCCCAGTACCCAGGGAAGTCTGCCTTGTGGGCACTGTGGGCACATCTCCTTTCAGGACTGAGGCTCTTGTTCCCCTGGGGGCTCGGCACTGTTGCTGCCAGGGCCCTGAGCCCAGGGCCCTCTGAGCCTTGACCGTGGAGGAAGCGCCTAGTCCGGGGTCACAGCCCTCACCAAGTGTCTGTGTGATAACTGGCCAAGGCTGGAGACCTCGCCCCAACTGGGTCAACTCTAAGGTCGCCGGGCTCCAGAGCCCAGTGGGACTGCCTAGGGCCACACGCTCTCCCCCCTCACGGGTGGTTCCAAGCACGCCCCCAGGAAGCCTGTGTGGACACCCCCTGCTTGGTGTCTAGAACTCTGCCTTTCTCCTCCTCCTCCTCTTATATTTTCTTGGCTGAACGCTTGAGTCTCTCCCAATAAGAACATACGTTCATTGAGGGTGTACACCTCCTGCGGATGTCCTCTCTCCCGGCAAGGCTGGCCCACACGAGGGCACAGTTCAGCCAGTCCCATGCACACCCTACTAAAGCCCCTGGGAGGAGTACACGGGACCGAGTCCCTGAGAGAACTCAGGCTGTCCTTTCCAAGAATGTGGAAGGAGCCGGGTTGGAGCAGTCTGACCACCTCACCCCACCCTGGTTCACGAGGGACCCCAGGTACAGGCGTGGCCCCGGCAGCTCTGGGACCCCACTTCCCTAGCTGCCTTTGACTGGACAAGGGGACCACTAAACCCCTCTTAGCCTAACCAGATTCTCCTTCCTGAGGAACCAGATTTGGGAACAGGGTCTGGCCTTACTTGGCCATGGAGCCTGTGGGGAGACAGCAGCAGAGGCCAGTCCTGGGATCCCAACCCTTCCCCATCCCTGGGTCCAGCTCCTCCTGGGGCCCAGCACGCCCCCACCCCGGGACCTCAGGAGCCACCCTCGCACCTGCGGAAGGAGCCCTCATGGGTTTTCCGCCTCCCACAACCACAGTCCCCAGTAACTGCTCGAGGTTCTGACTACCCTGAGGACACTGCCCAGAAGGCCCCCCAAAGCCAGGACGCCCCTTTCATGGATCTAGATTCAGCCATGGGGGGTGGGAGATTTTGTTTCTCCTTCTTGCAAAATGTGAACTGGACTCTGCACTAACAGCGTGCCTTGCAGGACACCCAGGCCCAAGGCAGAGCTCTGCAGGGGCACCAGGACAAGGCAGCTCACGGGATGTCCTACTTCCCTCCACATGGGCCCCTCGGGCCTGGCCCCGACGCACAGAGCTGATGCTAAGAAACCCACCCACGGCAACACAGGAGTAGGTGGCAGGGCCAGAACTCACACCAAGTCTGTCTGTCTGTCTGTCTGACCTCAGGGCTGGGTCCTGAATTCCTCTTCCCTCCAGCCCCCTCCCAGCATGATGGAGACGGGGAAAGAGACAGGGGAGGGCTCGCCTGTGCCTCCCAGGATGGGGGTCTCTGAACCTGGAGGCAACCGACACGCCCCCGGGAAGGCACTCCACGCCGTGTCAGGGTCACGCAGGGCCCCTCTGTGGGCGCCGTCTCAGATGGGTCCTTTGTGGCTCCCAATGCTCGATTGTGTGTTCCGTCATACACTGTGCAAGGAGCAGGGGCTGCAGCGGCCGGCGTGGGGAATAATGGCCCCACTGTTCCCCGTTACTCACCCACTGCTCCTTCTGGGCCTTGGGTGGGGGACTGGGGGCTGGCAAGGTTAGCAGCTACACACCAGGGCCCCAGAAGCTGCATGTCTTCCTCCGCCGGGGTAGGGAGGAGCAAGGTGAAGGACCCAGAGCACGAAGGGAGAGCTGGAGGGCTCTCTCTGGACTGCAGCCAGCCTGCCGAGGCCGAGCCGCTCCTGGAATAATCCACCCCACATGATGGCTCTGATTTACAGCTGGGGTCCAGGCTCCAACTGGCAGGAATGGGACCAGCTGGAACTTGTGACCCGCCTGTCCCCAGACAGGGATGATTCCGGGTGGGGCCAAGGCCAGGACGGCATCCTCATGCCTGGCATTCAGATCACAGTGGCTGGCTCCTGGGCTATCCCTGCTGGCTTCTCACTGCCTGTCTCTGTGCAAAGGTGTCAAGCCCTGGGCAAAATGCATGTTCCCCTATGGCAAAACGTTCCAGCAGCAACCAGGAGGAAAAAAACGGGGCAGTCAGGGCAGCTGTTCCAGGCTTTCCCAGCCAACCTACGACTGTACACGGGAAGCACACGCTCTAACACCCCAGCACCCTCGGCTCCAAACCCACGAGGGCCCACACTTCAGGCGCTGCAGGACTGCCGTGGGCCCTGAGCGGCCCTCCCGCTGCTTATGGGATGAGGGACCTGTGACCGCTGGTGAAGAAATTAGCTTTGTCGTATAGGAAGCACTTGTTGACGGGCTTGGACCGATTCATTGAGAGGTTAGACAGTAAGTCCACTGGGTACACCAGGTCCCTCAGGAAAGCCACGCTGAGGGCACAGGCAGCACCCAGAGACACATCCTCGAGGGAAGCAGAGGCTCCCAGGGCTCGCCGCTCTGGGAGACCACAGGCGAACCCCCTGCACCTCCCTGACCTTGGCATTCTTAGCACTATGGTGGGGATTGATGCCCAATCAGCTCTCCTCCCTCCTCCCAGCCTGAGCCCAGCCAAGCAGCACCTAAGGCAAGAGGAGAAGTGCCCACCCCTCAGCCTGCGGGCCTGCCAGGCCACCAGACTGCAGCGCTCCCGCCACCTAGTGGCAGGCCTGCGTCCTCACCTGGAACAGCCACTGGAGCAGGGGCACTGGGCAGTCAGGCACGTGCAGGTAGAGGGTGCTCAGGAGGCCGCTGTGCAGGAAGGACAGCTGTTGGGCCGGCGGGGAGCTGGGGGCAGAGGACTGAGGTTAGGGGAGGCCTCTGTGCCGGCACACTTGTCTCGTCACCGCGGGAGGCTGTCACTACCCAGCTTCACTGGCTGTTGGGAAGCAAATCTGTAACACTAGAGACAAATGTGCTTTTCGAGCCCTCAATGCACGGATCTGTCAGAAGGAAAAGAACCCAGGCGAGCATCAGAATCACCTGCTCTTCTTGCATGTTGCATGAACACACCTCACAGCGTTTAAAATACACGGCAGATAGCTGGATGCAGTGGCTCACGCCTATAATCCCAGCACTTTGGGAGGCAAAGGCGGGTGGATCACGAAGTCAGGAGTTCAAGATGAGCCTGGCCAATATGGTGAAACCCTGTCTCTACTAAAAATACAAAAATTAGCCAGGCATGGTGGCGTGCACCTGTAATCCCAGCTACTCGGGAAGCTGAGGCAGGAGAACTGCTTGAACCCAGGAGGCAGAGGTTACAGTGAGCCAAGATCGAGCCACTGCACTCCAGCCTGGGCAACAGGGCAAGACTCCGTCTCGAACAAACAAACAAAACACGGTAGGGCAGTGCAGTCTGCCCTTTCCATTTGGCCACAGGGGAAGGTAGGATATTTGCCAGGGGTGTGGAAAGATGAGGAGTGAGGCCAGGACTGGGTGTCTTAGCCTCGGTTTCCTCCAGCTGCAAGGGGCGGGCAGGATTCCCCCTACGAGGCCAGCGTCTCGAGATCCGGTTACACAGGGCGTTTCTGCTCTGCCTTATGTTTTTCAGACACAAAGGGGACACCTAAGAAGACGGGAAAATAACAGAAAGGGGCCCGGGATGAAGACATTCTGGGAAGGAAATACCAAACAAGAGTTCCATAGAGGATTCTTCAAAAACCATGTGAGCCGCAAGTGTCCCAGATTCCAGGGATGGAGGCGTGCTCAGACCAGCCATGCGGCTGTGGCCGTGACCGTGTGCCCATTCATGCTACCCCCTCGGGCCTCTTTCTCCTAATAGGAGCTTTCAAAATCAGCGCTGGTGTGGAGATGAGCCCTGCCTCGGGGACCGCTGACCTGGTAGATCACTTTGACCTACAAGATTCCAGGTCTCTGCAAAATGAGTTGTTGCAATGTTTCGTATGGTTGTAGGGCCTCTGGTAGGAAGTGCTTCAGAAGTTATTTTATAGGAGGTTGGCTGGACTTTGTCACCGTCCCTGAGCTCCCAGTCATCCCCAGAGAGCCTGGGTTTGGGGTAGGATTCTCCTACGTCCTGTGCATTTTGTGACCACCATCTTTGCTTGCTCTCTCTAGACCACATCCCAAAGATAAGTAACATGGATTCCAGGAAATGAAAACGTAAGTTCACGTTTGTTTTTCTTTTTAACGGCCCAAATGCATGCAAAGAACATTTCAGAAAGTACTTAACGTTGCCACCCTAGATAAAAAGTTTTCCAGTTTTTCAGTCAGCCCAACCTCCTCCTTCTGCTCCTCCTCCTTCTCCTTTAAAAAGGACATCATACTATAATCTGCCAGGAACAGAATGCTACAAAACAAAGATTATCCTCTGGGCCAAGCTGCTGTCTCTCTGAGAATGTCCAGGCAATTTACAAATTGCATGTTTTTTCTCTAAGTCATTTAAGTTCAGAGGAGAAAGCAGCTTTGTTCCTGTGGTGGTGAAGTTTACCGCCCTGAAATAGACCTTCGTTTGTACATACAAACACGTGTGCACCCCAGGACTGCTGGCATGCTCCACGCTATCCACGTGCCCAGTCACATGGAGACTTTCATGGACTGACCCCAACAAGACGCGTGTGCTTCAAGAACATGCACAGCAGCCTGAACGCAGACAATACCCATGTAAACAACGTCTGGAGGACCTTGAGAATTGGCAGAACCCCGACAACGGCCATGTGGTGAGGAGGCTGGCGCTTCAGGGACTCTAAGGAGACGCTGGCTCTGGCATTCTGCTGCAGGGGGCACCCCGCCAGTTTCTTAGTGGGAGAATTGATTGTACAAGGCCCTGTTGGCTCAGATCAACACATTTCTAACCGCTGCTCCAAGGGAGAGACCCCACAGTTGCAACGTCTCCCTTCTGCTACGTGGGCCTTGCAGTTTCTGCCAGAGGAATGACGGATTGGCCTCTGAGTTCACTGCTGCTGAGAAAATTTTGACTATGGGACTGGGAGCAAGAGAAAGCCAGAAAGGACATAGGCCTGCTCTGCCCTGGGATGACTGGCTTTCAAGGAATTCTGTGTTTAGGGTTAGAGGCAAGGACTCCCTTCTGCAGGCTGAATGCACGCTCGGCGGGGAGGGAGTGCTGCTTCGCCCTGGCTCAGCCACAGGCCCTCCCACGTCCTTCAGGGTGCCACAGGGTGACCTCGAGCTTGGCTGCTGGGCAGGGAATGGGCCTCGTGTACAGACAATGCCCTGACTCTGGGGAAGGAAGCAGGGTCCCAACAGCAGCACCTGGGCTGGGAAGCCTGGAGGAAAAGGGAAAAAGGAAAGGGGGTGGGAGGTGTGTGTGGTGAAAGCTCAAACGCCTTGGGTGACGGAATTGGCTGTTGTCAGAGTCATGTCCCCACATCAAGAACAGAGAGGCTGGGTCCAAGGCGGTGCCTCTGTCCACGGCCAAGCCAATGCTGAGGTCAGAAGTTATCCTGAGAATGCTGGAGGACCCTGGAGGGAGAGAAGGAGGGACAGAGCCTCCGTCGGCAGCAGATGCCGCACGGGCCTGGCTGAGTGGGAAGCCCCCAGTTGTCAGCCCTGAGGATCCCATGAAGGGAGGTTCCCATCAGAGTCCTCAGCTGTGATTGGAGATGAGGAGGGAGCAGTCAGAGTCAACTCTGGTAATCCCCAGCCACAACCGCAATGCCAGCGGGCAGGTGCCTGCCTCCACCCTCACTGCCCACTGGAGCAGAAGGAAGCAAGGGGAGGACATCAGCTACAACTGGGAAACCCACAAAACCAGTGACAGCAAATGGGGGCAGCTGGGCTCAGCACACGGGGCTTTCCGAGCAGAGCTCTGACCAGCTTCATCTTGGAATTTCTGTTCCTCATCACACCCAAGGGAAGATTCTTCCCGCCTCAACCTCCTCATTTATTTTATGGGCAGCAGTCCCAGAGGGCAAGGTCTCTGAATGCCTTGAGAATCCCAAGTGATGGCCAAAGGATAAACAGCAAGTGTAGTTATTTATAAGTATCAGCTACTGGGCCTTTGCCAAATTACTCAGATCAGTCTGAATAAAATGCCTAAATACAACAGAGACCAACAGCAACCAAAGCTTTCACCTATGGCCTTTTTCTTTCTTTCTTTCTTTCCTTTGTTTAAACATGAGAGGGCCGGGTGCGGTGGCTCACGCCTGTAACCCCAGCACTTCGGGAGGCCGAGGCGGGTGGATCACCTGAGGTCGGGAGTTCGAGACCAGCCTGACCAACATGGAGAAACCCCATCTCTACTAAAAATACAAAATTAGCTAGGCGTGGTGGCACATGCCTATAATCCCAGCTACTAGGGAGGCTATGGCAGAAGAATTGCTTGAACCTGGGAGGCGGAGGTTGTGGTAAGCCGAGATTGTGCCATTGCACTCCAGCCTGGGCAACAAGAGTGAAACTCCGCCTCAAAAATAAATAAATAAAAAATAAGAGAGGCCAGATGCAGTGGCTCATGTCTATAACCTCAGAACTTTGAAAGGCCCAGGCAGGAGGATAGCTTGAGGCCAGGAATTCGAGGCCAGCCTGGGCAACAAAGTGAGACCCTGTCTCTAAAAAAATACAAATTAGCTGAGCACGGTAGTGCACACCTGTGATCCCAACTACTCGGGAGGCTGAGGCAAGAGGACCTCTTGAGCCACGACTTGCAGGCTGCGGTGAGCTGTAATCGTACTACCGCACTCCAGCACGGGCAGAAGAACATGGGCCTGACTAAAATCAAGAAAAAAATGAAATAAAAATAAGCGAGTGTTGTCCGGGCGCGGAGGCTCACGCCTGTAATCCCAGCACTTTGCGAGGCCGAAGGAGGTGGATCACCTGAGGTCAGAAGTTCAAGACCAGCCTGGTCAATATGGTGAAACCCCATCTCTACTAAATACACAAAAATTAGCAGTGCGAGGCTGGGTGCGGTGGCTCACGCCTGTAATCCCAGCACTTCGGGAGGCCAAGGCCGAAGGATCATGAGGTCAGGAGATCAAGACCATCCTGGCTAACACCGTGAAACCCTGTCTCTACTAAAAAATACAAAAAAAAATTAGCCAGGCGTGGTGGTGGGCGCCTGTAGTCCCAGCTACTTGGGAGGCTAAGGCAGGAGAATGGCGTGAACCCGGGACGCAGAGTTTGCAGTGAGCCGAGATCACACCACTGCACTCCAGACTGGGCGACAGGGCAAGACTCTGTCTCAAAAAAAAGGAAAGAAAAAAAAATTAGCCGTGTGTGGTGGCATGCGCCTATAATCCCAGCTACTTAGGAGGCTGAGGCAGGAGAATCACTTGAACCTGAGGCAGAGGTTGCAATGAGCCGAGATTGCACCATTGTGCTCCAGCCTGGGCAACAAGAGCAAAACTGAGTTCCAAAATAAATAAATAAATAAGCGAGCGTTACCACAGGCAGAAACTCAGGGATCCCATAACAGCCCTGCTTGCTACCTCCACTTGCTCTTTATTTTGGGGGACAGATGCAGCCAGCTGGAAGGCTCAGCCTTCTCCACACTTCAGAACTGCTGGATTTATTGCACCTGGGCTTCAACCCTGGCCTCTTCCTCCAGGAAGAGAAGCTAGTGACAAACAAGAGGTGGGGATGCCGGGCCTCCGGCAGAAGCTCAGCCTCATCCACCTCCTTCCCTTGCCTGCTGGATATTCACGGAGGAACGCCCTGGCTCATGCATCGGGCTTCTGGAAAGCATGCTGGTCCTCGCATCAATAGTGGCAGATGCAACCAGAGGACAAACGGGGACCCCAATGTCCTTGCAAATACTGTGGGGGGCCTATGACTAACTGAGTAGGGCAGACAAACTCCACCCTTCCAACTTCCGACCCTGAGTGGGATGTGGGCTTTGGTCCTGACACTTTTCCATGCGGGAGCGTTGGATTTCCTTTTGAATTACTGTCAAGGGAAGAAGAAAAAAGTTCAGCTCCTGCAATCAGCTGGTATCAGCCTCCGTCATAATGACATGTGACTCTGGTGGCAGGGGACTGACCCCGGGATGCACAGCTAGCTTGGTGATGGATGAGGGCGTCATCTGGACCACATGCACTCCCAAGGCAGGCTCCCCGGGAAGAGGGTTCTTGCACATCAACCTGGATAGATGCTACAGGACAGCTGCTGGGACGCAGAGGCCAAGCCCACCCATGCAATCTGAAACAAACTGCTTAATTTGCGCTGTTGCCTACTTTGTTCAGAGGGAAGAAAGGTATTTTCCCCCTTTCACGG